GGGCAGTTGAAAAAAAACCTTTTTCCCTTTTTTTCCCACGACGCCTTTTTTTTTTTTTTTTTTTTTTTTTTAAGAAACTGCCTCAAAACGACGCATAGATTATGTATTTAAATCTGTGTATTTATTTGACATAATCAACGATTAAAACTGAGAGTTGGACGTAGAAAACGTCGACTTGTGCTAGTTGACTCGAGACTGACTAGCATAAAAATCACAAATGAAATCCAGTGGATTCTAGCTCGCGACCTCTCGCTTACCACAGCTACATCATATTAGCTTAAGTATCCACACACAACGGGCAGCTGTAGGGCGGGGCCAGAATAAAAGCGTGAAACAAAACTATGGTTGAGTAGCCTTTTTTAAAAAAAAAAAAAACTTTTCACTCTAACCTGAATAATTCTTTGGATGGCTACTTTTGTTATTTTTAATTTTTACTTTTACTTGAGTAAAAATATGTTGAAGTAGTATTACTCTCACCTAAGTAAAATTTTTGGGTACTCTACCCACCTCTAAAATAATTCTGTCATCTCTGCATTGTGAGCAACGTAGCTGCAGAGCATTACGACAATGGATGAAGCTTTAGGAGAAAATTAGGATTAATGTTTAAAGGGAAGACTTGCATATGTTTTTCCTCCACTGAATAAATGTACTCTTTTTTTTTCTTTTTTCTTTTTTTACACAATGTGCCAACAAATTTCACTGCTACTCTATAACAGTGAAATGTGCCCGACTCTGAGATGCTATTTCAGAAGATTGATTTCGGCTCTGGGCACTGCCACAGCCACTCTTTGGTAGTGGCAGTGTCCACGTGCTAAAGCTTCAAGATAAACAGATTAAAGGATCAGCTTGTAATTGATGATACTGGGTTGAGGTTAACCAGTTATAGGTGATTAGCCAGTGTGCACATGATCAAAGAAAACAGAAACAGACAGACAATTCATCCACCGTTTTAAAGTTATGCAAACTTTTGCTGCCCCTTTTAATGTTTACTAGGCCCAACTCTAGCTCCACGGCAACAATTATTAACATTAGTCATAATCAGTAGAAAGGTCTGTTTCTGCAGGTTCTGTCTCATCACAGTTCCTTTCCTGAAACTCTTTAATCTGGGGTGTTGTTCAGACAGACTGGCATCTGTGGTCTTGTTTTGACATGCTTCACTGAGAAGTGGCGCTGAAAAGCTTCCATTTGGATACTTCTGATAAAATTTCTCAGCTGTTTCCAATAACCCCCAAGTGTTCCCTGAAATGTTCTTGCAGGATTCCTTGACATGCTTTGGATATTTTGTAACTCCCAATCCCGAGTGTATCCTCCTCGGCTTTCTTTCTCCACACATATCTAGTTGTGTGCCGTGTCATTTTGGCCGCTTTTCCCTCACAGATTTGACTTACTTTGCATGATCACGTGACTATAGAAGGGATTCTATTAGCTCTGGACGAAAATAAGTGACCTTGTTTGGAATCAGGTGTGGTCAGTGTGTATATATTTGTAATCTAAAAGAAACTATTCACACACACGCTTAATCCAGGATCTAGGAAACCGTTTCAGAAAGTTTGCCAATTACGTTCTTCATCTCTGTCCCCCACATGTTCCTTCTTCTGTTCCTGCCTCTCTTTCTCTGTGTTTGGTTTTTAGGACCCTCCCTTTCTCTCTCTTCTCCAATCCCTTTTCTCTCCCCTCCCTCCATCCTCTTTGTCAGAGCTGTGCACTCCAGCACACAGACAACTTCCCAACAAGAGCAGACCGTATCAGATTGCCTCTAATGCACTGAAATTCTCCCACTCCTCCCTCTGAAGAGCTCCGGATCAGGTGAACATAAGTACAACTTTGCTGTTCTGCTGAGTAAGGTGAGTTAGCTGAAAGGACATTACAAAATGTAACTTTTGCTGCTCTTCACAGTATCTTGTCTTCAAATCTATCCTGTTTACCACTTTGATCTTATCTTTTCCCTTTTTTTCCCGTAGTGGCCATGCTGTAATGACTTGTACCCAGTAACCAGGTAAGAACATTACATTTTTCTGTTTTCATCGCATTTCTTATTTTTTTATTTTTTTTTTTTGTTCACTGTTGCCGTATTTAGTTAAATGCCTAAAGGTAAAAGTTTCCTTTCTGATTCATGTTTTCCAGCCACCACCACATCATTAACAAAGTTAGCACTGTCTTAAAAATTGGGCTCTACTGAAAGCCTTTTTGTTGATTTATATCTTTTGAGAAGCCATATACAATCTTAAATGTCAAATGTTACACAAAAAAATAGTTTTAGTTTTGTTCAGATTTAGAAAAAAAAAAAAAAAGCAAATTTCTGCGTATTATTCCCTGTGTCAGGGTTTGAAGTGTTAAGAGAGCACACAGAAAGACAAAATATGACAAGCGTGGTTTGGGATAAACACAACTAATGCAGGTAACTAACTGCAGCTTATCTGCCTGTTTACCCTTTGGACACAGGTCTGTCAGGTTACAGTCATTTTCCTGACATTTCTTGGAACATTTAAAAGCCAACATCTACCACACTTCATTGTTTTAGAAGTCAAAACAATGAACTTCTAAAACATTTAAAAGTTCATTTATTTAACAGTTATAACTTCCTGTTTCCAAAATGTCACTGTCGTGGTTCTTCTTCTGAAAGACAACGTTGTTTATTTTCCCTGTCACTTCAGGGAAATTGTTTTATCATCTCTTTGTCTTTGTGTGACTCACTCTGTGGGTTTCAGTGATTCTTTTTTTTTTTTTCTCTAATAACTGGAGCTATTTTCTTCTCTGAGTGCAGCATTGTATTCAGTCTGTACTTCTTTTTTCCAGGTGCATAAAGGCGGTGCTTGCACCATGAGTTAATCACTCTGAAACTGTGACTTCTTCTTCCGATAAACATTTTCAATCTGGTTTAACCTGTGAAAATGCACCTATGTGAGAATATGTGGAGATGGCCATACAGCGGGGCAGTAGGAACGATGCTGCTGCTGCTGCTGCTGCTGGGAAGCATCTCGGCCCAGGGCGATTCTGCACAGCTCAGCTGTCCAGGTGCCGAAGTCACTCAGAACATCACCCAACCTCAGTACAACGGCGTATTAAACAAGAACACCGATGTGGTGTCTTTGGTGTCATTCGTCCACTCCTTTCTTTACACGGTCCAGCCTAACCCTTTTCCTGAACGTAAGTGAATCTGCTGTTGTCTTCTTGCTCCTCCAACTAAGAGTTTGCTTAGGACACACATAGATGTCCTGCTGCCAGCTTATGGACTAGCCACAATAAAATAGTCAGTTTTTATTGGTTTCCACTTGCTTGGGCAAGCTTTACCTATGGGCGGAGGAACTGGGACACCACATCAATCTCCTCACATAAACATCACAGAGGTAGTTAACCAGTAAGTAAATGGGATTTCTCGAAATTTGCCCAGTCAATCATTAACTTTTGTGTGCTGTCTTGACGTTAGATCTTTTGTTCCCTTGATCCTTCCAGGCCCTTGACATTTATTGAAGTTGCCCTGTAAAGCAGTCTCTGTTCCACTCATTCTTCCATATTGATTTCAGATAAGAGTCAAAAATCAGTCTGACAGTACAAGCTCATAGTTGACCCAATTGCTATTGATGTGTCGAGTACGATTTAAGCAAAAGCCACTTGCTGTTTAGAAAACCCAAAACCATACCAGTTAAACAAATGCGTAACAGAACACCGCCTTCCATCTGCCTGTGACAAAAAGCTAATTATTTCCTGACTTTTTCAAGTTTGTATGTGCCTCACTTTGATCACAATCCCCTGCACCGCAGGTTAGAAATGTATAAATGCGTGTACGTGGAAGAATAGGGGATTATATTTATAGCATGCTGCTTTCTGATGTCACACAGATGATAAATGAAACATACAAAGCTTGTTTGATCAGCACCTGCGCGTTTCTTCTCAGTTACCAGCACTGGCTTTTGTTGTCAACTAAATCCACAATACCAGGGTTTAGAGGTAACATTAATGACTGCCTTTGTATTGTGTTATCTCCCACTGAAGGCCGACCCGTCACCTAGTAACCACAAGATGTCGGTGTCAGATTTCCACTCATACAATGTGAAATTTTTAAGATGTTTTATAAAGGATAGGACACTCTGTTCCTGTGGCCAGGATTTTTATACAGAGCTGACCAGACTAGAGAGGCAGGAATCATGAAACATCAAATCAGTGTTCTTTGGAAATGCCTCACATTTATTCTTAAATTTCAGAAACACAAAGCCACTTTGTCTCTCATTTCTTCCCAGGCTTATTTCTGGAAATAATCAAGGATCCTCAGCAGGTCTGGTCAAACAAAGAGCTGATGACTGAAGTAAGTAAATGTGCTTGAATCTGAAATGTACACAATTTGGAAACTAAATATCTGACACGTCAACCTTTTTCTCATAAAGCGTATTTTGAATGAGAAATAGATTTCCATAATCTCATTTCATGCCAATGAGGCTATTGGCATGAAATTCACAGCAGTTGCTGGTAAATATCCAAGTAATGCCCACATGTGTTGAAATCAAAACAAGTCCATTAACTAAGTTATGATGTAGACTGGCACAGAGATTATGTACTGAACACTATAGTAGTAATAAGTAGTAAGTAAAAAAGCCTTTTTTTGTGAACTCGTGAGCTAAGCTCTTCAAGTGGGACTTAGACCCCCGTTTCTGCTTCAAATGTCTTGAAATCTTGAAGATTCCAGGAGTTTCTGCTATGCTATGTGAACTTTAGCTCTTTTAATAGATTTTCTATTGCATTCAAGTGAGGTACTGACTGGGGCATTCCAGAACTTCTTCTCCAGGGTTTAATTTTCTGTGTGTCTAGGATTATTGTCTTGGTGAAAAATCCACCATTGAAATGAAATTTTCACACCAGACTGTTCTAGGCTCCAGACTTCACTGTTTTTGGCTTGGTGTTTTTAGAGTGATGTGCAAACACATTCCTGGTCCGAACATTGAGTTTGCATTGAAACAGAGAGTTCAATTTTGGTCTAATTTGATCAGATTATGTTCTCTAACTAAGCATGTGATTCTTGCAGAGCTTTTCAATAAAGCAAACTTAAATTTTGCTTTTCCTTCAGCAGTTGAGTCTTAAGCAGTGGTGGATGGCAGATAGAAATCGAGTGCCTAACTTACTGTTGACGTGGAAAAATGTAACCTGCTAACTGCAGATCTTTCTGAGCTCTCTGTTAGGAGTCGTTGGCTCTGGAGAAACTTTTCTGAGTTTATGTTAGAAATCTAGTGAGGAGAACCTGGCCATGACTGGTTCAGACAGTTACATTAAATTATTTCCACTTACAGATTATGGCCTCAACATTGCTCACTAAAGCAGTTGGACATTTAGAAAGACTTTCATAAGCAAGACAGCATGTCAGTATGTTTTGCGTCATGAAATGTTGCACAAGTTAACTGCTTTTATTCACCATCACACACTTCTAGTAAAATGCTTTGGACATGAAATATCACAGTTTCTAGGCCATCAGTTAGGACCAAGCCATCTAACTTTAATTTGCTCTGAATGGGGTCAGGATTAGTTTCTAATTACTGACAGATTTCAGCTAGTTCCTTAGATTTTATGTCTTTTTCCAGTTTCTTTCTTCATGTGCTCAGTGTTTATTGGATTGTTGAGCTAAGAGTCTGTGACTGTTGAACATTGGAAAAAAGCCCGAATGCTCTGAAGACTGCTAAGACTGCCATCCTCATGGTTGTAATATGTCAAAACATTAAAGAGAGAACTTGTTTGTTGGTGTCTCACTGGGATCTGACATCATATGACGCCACAAAGACCTAATTATCGCATGTGCTTTTGCATTCAGATCCTCACGTATGAAGTGGGTTTCCTAGTGTGCATCGCCATTGGCATCTTGTACATTGTCCTGATGCCCATAATTGGTTTCTTCGTGGCTTGCTGTCGCTGCTGTGGCAACTGTGGGGGGAAGATGTACCAGAAGCAGACATCCTCCACCAACTCTCTCAGAAGAACTCTCTGCTTCAGCCTATTTGCAATCACAATCATTATCCTGTGAGTATGCGTGTGTGTGTGTATGTGTGTGTGTGTGTATGTGTGTGTGACATAATGAGAAGTTCATTCAAATGTGTGCAGCTCACTGCATGTGTGCGTCTCTTGGGTAAGCTGTCTATTCATTAAGCAAATTTATCTGTTTGTACATTCATGTGCTGTTTTTGAACTTTCTCTGTTTCTCATTGCAGTGCTGGTAACATTTGCATGTTCAGAAGCAACGAAGATCTTAAAGAGAGTGTGAACCAGAGTCCGTTGCAGCTTAGCAATGCATTAGGTGACATGCACAGCTTCCTGGTGTCTGTGCCACAAGTAAGTGAAAATATATGCAGGTCAAAGCGTTGACAGCTGGCAGTTTGGCAGTCGTTATCAGCTCATCTTTTTTTATTCAAACTGCTTTTAAACCATGAATGATACAGTTTTGCTTGGTCAAAAAAATTCCCATGGGGAAGTTCTGCCATTAATATTCAAGAAGCTGACATGTATTACACAGACATGTAAAAGTCTCCACACCCACTGATCAATGCTACTTTTTGTCTCATAACAAACAGACATTTACTATATTTTATTTCCTTTATGTTTATGTGGTAGATCAACACAAATAGTGATTATTATGAACTGAATGTAAAATGATACATATTTATCAGATTTTTTAATGAATAGTACTTCAGTTACTCCCATGCCAGTAATTGGAGTAATCACCCTTTGTCCACCATTGGACATCACCCATAGAGGAGCAACTGCAAATTAAGTATTTAACTTGTCGAGAAAGCTGATTCTTTTGACTCAGGAAGGGACAATACAAATGCACACCACACTTTTCAGATTTTCAACCGAAAGAAATTCAAACATTTTTATGTATTGTATTTCTTTCACTTCAAAATTATGCCTCTACCACATGAAATCCCACTAAATAGTACAATCGATCAACTTCAAGGCAATGTGGATTAAATTAAAAAAATATCCTTACATCTGTCAACTGAGTTAGATCCAGTTCTTTATTTTTGCAGTGTCAGTATGCTCATGTGAAGAGAACAGGGTGGTACCTGGCTTAGAGATATTATAAACTCATGTGATCTATTGGACTGCATATTACTGTTTAACCCATAAGTACGCACTTCAGCTGTTTAATTTTCCGTTGTTTGACTTCAGCAAGTGGATAATGTGGTGAATGAGAGCTACAGAACTGTGGAGGAGATCACCAGGAACTTAGACGGTAAGAACAGGGAACTGAAACGACTAAAACAGAGGAACCACTGTATTGCCTCAACTGTCACAAACTGAGTTGTTTGGGTGTTGCAGACATCGGACGCCAGTTGGGGGAGAAAATCCAGCAGCGCTTTAGAGGAACTCTTGACCCAGCTCTGCAGTCGGTCAAACTTCTACACAATGGTATGAGTTCCACGCCTGACCAGGTCTGGGCCATGAGCGCATGCAAATGCGTTCGGTCATTTGATATTTGCAAATGAACATCTCTGCTTCCTGCTCCACGTGGCGCTAAAATGTTTTTGTACATGCTGCGCATTTTACTTTTCTGATCAGACGTTTTAATCGGCAGTTTTAGGAATAAAAAGTTACATAATACAGAGCCAAGTACAGACAAGTCAGCTGCTCCCACTGAACTATAAACCGAGCAGTCAAGAAGGCTCCTGACTGAGCCTTTGTGTGGAATAGTTGTTTTGTTGTAGTTCGACAAAGAGGCGATTTCAGTGCAGAGTATACTTGATCTCATTGTACTGCTTCTGATTCCTATAACATTGAATGTTTGGGCTCTTTGGGAAGAAGAGCTTCCCAACGAGGACTTTGGGAACAACTTTGGGATGTCCTTCCCAAGGAAGAAGAGCTTTTTGGCTGTAACCACTTTACCACTTTAATGTGTAAAATGGTTACACATTAATGTTAATGTGTAACCACTTTAATGTGTGATTGCACATTAAAGTGGAAGCAATATTTCATATTTGCATCTTCTATGGCTGGAAGCTAAGGTGTCACCCTTCTTCTACGTCCTTAGTGACCGTAAAGTCTGCCTTATGGTTTTCAAGAAATAGAAACCTGATATGCAAGCATTCCTGTGCGTGGGCATTTTTTTTAATTATCAGATTTTATCCTCAGGTGTAAAACTGAACAACGTAATTGTAGAAGTTCTCATTGTAATTGTCATTGTAATTGCTGTTACGCTGGATTTGACAAAGCGGTCTGCAAGTACAGGGTTCAAGCCATTTACACAACTCATTGGAAAGTTTGTCACTTTTCTACAATAAGCTTAAATTTGCCTTTCCAAGCAAAATGTACATGATGTCATTTATTGACAGCTCTGGTAAATGTACATAAGGGCTGAAGGTAAATTCATCTTTGTTGCGGAAACTTAATCTCACACACTCAAAAAAAAATCAAACTTATTGTTTGAGTACATTTATTGACTGTGGGAAAGAAAATGTCTTTTTTTTTTCAGCTAAGATTTAATGTTTTAAGTTAATCTGAATACCTAGGAGAATTACTTTAGTAATTCTTGACTCCGTGGTTCCCTAAGGCATAAATATGACATTAAAAACCCATGAAACAAAAAAAGCCACTTTTCAAAGTAGGAAAAACAAGAGAACATACCATTACCAAGGGCAGATGTAAGCTGATCATAAGTTTTGAAGTGACTACAAGTGACTACTTGCCTAAACTTGCCCATATCTACATTGGGAACAAAAATAGAGAAAGTTTCCACACACATTGAGGAAGATGTGCTGGCCATTTTTCCCCTTCACCATTTTGTAGTTTTGTAGTTTCAGTCTTTTTCTATGCAGCTTCATTCAGGATGACAACAGGATGTCATTTCTTCTAAGAGTACAGTTTGATCAGAGGATCAGAACTAAAATGAACAAAATATTCCACCAAATCTTCAGAAAATAATGCAGTATTACAGTAAATTGTACATGAAACTTGAACATTTTGTGGCTATTTATCCTCATAATTCATAAAAATGCCTACAAACAAGAAAAAGTGACACCCAATGGTGTAAGTAAATGGGTATAAAGAAGACATAGGAAGGGACAATATGGTAATGAGAATTGCTGCTTAAGACGTTTGTACAACTAAAGCCAAGGGAGCTAAAAACAATCTCCAGAGCTCATGTATTTTATTGCTTTTACAAGTCTTTACCAGGAGTGCCACCTAACTGTGAACTGCTTTGTAGTTATTTGTTTTCCACGGTGACACCTTGTGTAGAAAACCCTTTATAGAAGTTACTAGAATTAATGAAAATGAGTTTCTAGATCAAAGCCTGTTAAAAACACAAAGGTCTGTAAAGAGTGTTTAAAATGATCACTGATTAGTGGCTTATTTGTGTGTGTGTGTGTGTGTGTACGTGTGTGTGTGCGTGTGTGTGTGTGTACTTTTTGTTTGTTTGTTTGAATGTGCAGATTGTTTGACCACCAATGACCAACTTGACAAGTTGAACTCATCACTAGCCCAACTGCAGTCCAGCATAGACCGTACTCAGGCCAACATCACCGTTGTCAGAAATCGGCTTACTCAGACGCTGTCCAGACCAGAATGCAAAGGATGTCACAACCTAACAGCAGACATGAAGAAACTAACGCTAAACATCACCATTTCTGTAAGTGCTGGTTTTCTGTAGCCTAAAATATAACATGAATCATTCTTGTCTGATTTATTTATTTTCCTGTTGAATGGATGAGTTCTGGGTTCCCAGAATGCCTGCCTGCACGACAAGGACACATGAGGCTCTGAACATCTAGTTCTGTTAGCTGAAGTGTTTTATGGAAGAGATGAGTCAGGGCTGATTGCTCAGTTTACATAATACTCAGATTCTGTCCCTAAGCATATTGTCATGAATAAAGAGGAGAAATGGTTTCTGCAGTCACACTATGTTTGACGCAGGCTGAGACACTCACCGGAATGATGACTCTTTCTGTGGATTTGTCTGAATGATGAATTTCTCCTCCTCCACTTTTTTCCCTCCTCCTAAAATATTCAATCTGTGTCATCTTCGATCATAAGTGTTAGGTCGATTTATTTAAGTTTAAGATATATTTTATTTTGAGAAGAAAATTAACACGTACAAAATTGATAGTACACTTTGAAAATCATTTGTTGATTGACCTTGCCGTTTCTTGGTAACTTTAGTCTTTTTTTTTTTTTTTTGCACTCTGCTGCCCTCCTCTGTTGGAAACTCTTCAGCAGCTTATGTGTGTGTTTTATTTTGCTTTTTTCACAGACTGCCAGCCTGAATAAGTTTCAGTCTGCAGTGAATGAAGTCATTAAAGCTGATCTACTGTCTGAAATAATTGAGGTCAGTGGGAACTGTAAACAAATAAAACAGATTTCAACTGAAAAATGATGATGTTATTATACATGCTTTCTGTGCCATAAAGAACTGGTTTGTTTAGTTTTTTTTTTTTTTTGGTGTAGATATGTTTAATTGTCAGTGTAAACAGTACTATTTTTATACAACAGTCAGCATCATTTCCTCTTCCAGTAAAGGGAAATGACACGGGTACCATCATCTGTCGTAGACGCATCAGAGCTATTTGTAGAAAACTTTTTTATAATTTTACAGGCGGAGAAGTTTTTCAACACCATTCCTGAGACGGTGACCAATGAAACTGAGACTTTAGTTAAAAGTGAGTGAATACTAAATTTATCTCCACAAATAAAAGCTGCATAATTACTAAAAACAAAATTTTGCCTTTGTATTTCTAGCCAGCAAAGACCAGCTGAGCAGCATAAAAAAACAGGTTATGCCGATTACCCAGGACCTCCCCCTTTCAGCTTTGGATGATGCGTCAAAGACTATAATCCAGCTCCAGAGTGACATTAACGCGTACTTCCCTGAAGAGAAAGCATTAGAGAATATTAGGTATAAACGATGGAAGTTCAATGTATGCAATAAATAAGAAAAAAAAGAAACAAAGCAAAACTTTCCAAATTACTGTAACATTATTTTGTTAGATGGAGTGTGTGTTTGGCCCTGTGCTTTGTGATCCTCCTGGTGGTGGTCTGCAACATCCTGGGTCTGATTGTAGGCCCTCTGGGTCTCTCTCCCAAGGTGAACCCCACCAACCGCTCCATGACCTCAAACTGTGGAGGCATCTTCCTCATGATGTGAGTGACGCTTGCTTGTCTACATTCATCTTTTTGGGAGCGTTTTTAAAGAGTTAAACCTGGATTTGATTACAGGAGCGCAGGGTTCAGCTTCCTGTTTTCCTGGCTGTTCATGATACTGGTGCTGGTGTTCTTCCTACTGGGTGGAAACACGTACACGCTGATTTGTCGACCATGGGACAATGGCCAGCTGCTGCAGGTAGAGATATACACAAATATATACATTTGAAATGCTTCATAATCCTTAAAGATCAAATCTGAATGCAAAATAAAAGCATAACTATTGATGACACAAAATCTTTTATATAAATATCTAGATATAAATGTTTTAACATGTGTCCATACCCTTTAGACTTTTTCTCATTTTTTTCATGTTAGAACCATCACTAGTGCATTTTCCTGGAGTTTCATGTGAAAGATCAACTCAAAGTAGTCTATATCAAAAGGTTGGCGCCCAGTTGTGAATCTCCTTGAATAGCTGCATCTCTTATTGGATCATTTTTATGATTCTAGTTGTTTTTTTGTTTTTTTTTCATATGCCAACAAAACACTGTGATAGCAAAGCGACCCAAACTATATTTCTTCTATTATACCGTACATTTGAAATGATTTGTTAGAATACAGTTTCTTTACATACCACTATTCCAAAAAAAAAAAAAAAATACAACCAAATAATTTCAAAGAAATATTTACCTTTTATACAGGCTTTTAAGGAATATGGAATATGCTTCTATGGATTAAAAGATTCCTGAGTCACTGTCTTTCCTGCTTACAGTTCATTGATACTCCAGGTTTATTCCCAAACTTCGAATTAGGCTCCACTTTTGGACTGAAGAGCAAACTCAACTTGTCCACTGTCTACAGGTATTCATCGCCACTTCAACTCTAATGCAAACCCTCATAAACCATCCATACACAGTTTATGCATCAGTGTTTAATAATGATAGCGTGAATAGTCAATGTGATACAGCAAAAGGCTAATGTCTGATTCATAGATTGCTATTCAGTGCTAAATTAAAGGGCTATTTCACTGTTCTTTAAACAACCTACACATCATTTGACCATCTCTGGTTCAAAATGTAAAATAACTTCAAAGTAAAATTTGTGATTTATGAAAGCTTTATTCACATTTTGGTATTAGAGTCAGATCAGATTAACCACCACTGATCACAGTGGTGATCAAACAAGTATCTACTTGTTTGGCTTGAGTGATACTGATACAACCGATACAATCACAGTTGTCTCAGTGTCTGGCCTTTAATTTGTCAAGACTATTTGTGTGGGCGAAGCTTATATTTGATGTCTGCCTTTCCAGAGACTGTCAGAAAAACCAACCTTTGTGGACGACGTTTCACTTGTATGAACTTATAGATCTTGGAAGCGCACTCAATGTGTCTACAGTGAGTTTTGTTGACGCTATCTCGTTTTAAGCATTTTTTTTTTTGCCCTTTTACTTGCATGTATTAAATATCTCCTCTAATGATCTCATGCTCACAGTACACAGCCCAGATCGACAAGGAGTTTGAGAATACAAATATCACTCTGTCTTCAGTCAATATCCTGAGCCCTGACATGATAAAGAAACTTGAAAACACCTCTTCCAAAGCTACAGATTTCAACATTACGGCTATCACGCAGCAGGTAAAGCTTATTCCCATGTAGAGTTGTTGTTATTATTATATGTATTTCTGTGCAACCGGTGACCCTTTACTTTCTCTGACAGATGGATGACATTTTAAGAATCAATTTGAATACAACAGCGGAAAAAGTTGATAACTTGAGTCTTCAACAAGTGAGTCTCGTCACATTAAGCCTAATTTATATTGAAAAATAAAAGTTTTGTTTCTTCCATTTCTAATGTTTATTCTAACTTTCTGTCCATTTCTAGCCGACCAGAATTAAAGATGAACTTCAAACTGAGACTCTGAAACTGAGGCAAATTCAAGCCGACATAGAGATGACCATCTTTCCTCAAGTGGTGAGTGCCGGGGTTCGTCTCTAATGATACCTGTTCGCGTTCTGCCACCCACTCGTGGGCATTTCGCTTGTATTAACGAGACGACCACTGCTTTCTGCGCCACAGATAAACCTCAAATCATCCATCAGGAACCTTCAGTCCTCTTCAGAAAAAATCAGCGTGAGTGCATTGACCAACATCTAGATCTGCAGAAAGCAGAAATCTTTCATTAATTCTCCTCTGCGCTTCATTCTTGGTTTCATTCGGTTCTCTCCGGCCCTTTCAGAGAACAGTGGGGGAGGTGCTGAGGAGCACTAAAGCAGCACAAGACTTTCTCAACACAAATACAACACAGATTGTAAAGACCGTGAGTAGAGCCGCGAGTCACATGAGTTTGAAGAAATGTGCTCCATGTGGTCTGTTAATGCCTGAGGTCATTTAGGAAGTGGGGAAGAGGAAAGTGGGAGGGCCATGGATTACTTATTATGGGTGTGTGGAGTGGAAACAGTGTGTTTGTTGGTTCCATATCCGCAGACCATTTGGTGTGCTGCTGAATTTATCTTGAGTTATCCACTTATGTTGTAGCAAAGCACTATTTATGTAGATTTTGTTCCTAACAGTATACATTTGAGCACTTTGGAATTTAGAAGTGTCTTTTGCACAGTTGCAGTAAAATCAGGATGGATGAGATACTTTTTGCCTTCAAGTGACCATCTTCTTTTTTATTTTTCCTCACCTTTTGATTGCCTGACCATCTCGGGCTGAAAGTTAAATGCTCAAACTACAGCCTGTTAGTGACCTCAAGTGGTCAAATACCATTTTGGTTCACCTGGTCTGGCATTCTGTGGTTAGTGACATCATTATGGAGTCATCACTGCAACAATTATTTATACATGTTTACATTTCTGGACATAATCATGCCTCAGAATAGTTCCAATATGTTTAAAATGGCATTTGACTGGCTAAGCTAGAGATCAAATTGTATATGTTATGCACAGAAAGGCAGTTATTTACTAAATGCTGCATAATTAATATGCCATCATATATGATGGTGGTGTAAATGTCCAGAAGTGTAATGTAGTTCAAATCAATCTCAGACCTAAAGTGGAACCAAATCTGGATCAGTCTAAGAACAGATTAACATTTATTGAAACCTTTGCCTTTGTTTATTGTTCATGATACACCCTTTAATCCAACATTTGTGTAGCGCTTCAAATTACTACTTAAATCATTTTTTTGCAACTTTTAAATGAAGAGCTTCATGTTGAATTTGTCATATTTAACCCCACAGGTACTTTTAATTTCTGAACAAAAGTCAAATCAGTCCTGTCGCTGAAAAAAAAGGGGCCATCTCACAGATTTTTATTAGAATTCATGTTATTTCTGTATTTTGGACAAGTAAAATTCATGGAGTCTAACCAATTTTTTTTTTCCCCCCAAATCCTAGGAAAGTAGGAGGTTTCTAAATTGCCAGCTGGATTACGTCAGTGCTTATACTGACTGGGCCAAGACTATGGTAAAAGAAACTCTTCAGATCTTTTATTGGCAAATGAATGCATTGTGTTTGTAAAGTGTTTTTTGAGCTGCGTTCAATTTCCCTCAGATCACCCAGCATGTCGGCCGCTGCGGGCCTGTTGCCGGGGTTGTAGACACCATTGACACTATCGCTTGTGATAACATGGTGGAGTCTTTGGTGAGGAGAACAAACTTCTTCCTAATTTATTCTTTATTCTTGAGACTACTTGTTATTTTCTAGTTTCTTAAATGTTTTTTTTTTTTTTTTAGAATGCGTTCTGGTTCAGTCTGGGCTGGTGCCTGGTGTTCTTCATTCCCAGTATTATACTTTCCATGAAGCTAGCAAAGTACTACAGGAGGATGAGATACTCTGATGTTTTTGAGTAAGTAGTGGGAAATGTGTAGGGGATTTGTGTGACTGAATCAGGCTGAATTTGCTTATTAATTTCTCTGTCTTCAGAAATCACATCGTTATGAACCACATCCCTCGGGCTCAGATGAAAATCACCTGAGGATGGGACGGCACGTGCGTGGGGCAGATTTAAAGGTCTGCAGGCACAAGTGTTGTGTTTGAGAAAATCAAAGCACATGGGACACCACAGCACAGATGTGGCACATTGTCACTTGGGTAAAACAACTGAAAAAGAAAGAGTTAGAACTAACATATCTACTTGAATATTTTGTAAGTTTTGGTTTTTACTATAGCGTGGAGAGGGAAACCTGACCACAGTGTGGTACATTTCATATAGCCCGTGTTTCCCTTTTAAAGCCATCTAGAGGGATTCTGATGATATACGAGAACCTCAAAGAATGTTGTTTTTTTTTATTTCCTGGCTGAAATCAGCCTCATCAGGCATATTTCTTGTTTCTAGTTGATTACATCTGTATATATGTTGACGCACAGTTCTACGTTTTGACATTATTTGTGGTTTAGCAGCTTGTTGACAATGGGAAACACATTTTATTTTTGACTGAATTTCTATTTTCATTTGCACTAATGTTGGGAACAAATGTTTTCTGGGTTCAATGTACTTAGTTGACTTGCAAATAGTTTTACCCATATTGCTGCTGTTTGCTTACTTTACAATGTCATTAAATTTTTTTTTTTTTTTTTTTTTTTTTATCGTGAGTAGTAATTTCTTTTGAATAATGTTACGTATGTTTGATTGGTGTTGATTATTGTTCTACTTTGTTCTGCAGAGTAAATTCTGTTCTTTTGTTGTGCAGCACTTTATGCCATTTGATTGTGATTTTTATAAAGGGTTGAAACATTTCTGTCTGCTGTTTTCCATACAGTGAATAAAAAAAACACTAATCAATCATCATATTTTGTGCAATTTTATTATGGTGGTTTCTATCTTGATCAAAAAGCAGAAAAGTGTTTTTCATGGTGCAAATGGCTAGAGGTAATTTTTGCAAGGCACATGAACTTTTATCCTCCTGCTACGTTGAGAAGAGTGAATAATCTTTTGCATTAATGTGCTACAACAAAAATGGGACAAATATTCTTTAAATTTGATTAAACATGACTTGTTACAGAAAACAGATGCTCTGCCTCTCCACTGTGACGTCTACCATGCACGGCTCTCATATTAGAACGGCCATGCAAGAAGCTCAATATGGTGTTTCCTTTCTGTTCTAAACTTTTAGTTATTTTTATGCTTCACAACCAACCGCAATCTACACATCATGCACCAATATGACAAGGTAATGGCCCATATTAAAGCTGCTGGTTGCTGCTGTAATTTACACTCAGAAAATCAGAAGCCATAACTTCAAAATCAGGACTATGGACTCACAGCTTCGGGCCAGTTTTTGCATTCTGTTGGCACTCTAACAGCGTTTTCTTTAGTGTTGCTGGGGATTTTGTTTTTGTGATAGAAGCTAAGAAAGAAAAAAATACCTTTACCATGAGTTCTTCCTACAAACATAGAAGAATGTGTCCTGGAGAACAGAGGCTAAAATGACACTTTTCAAACACTGTTTGCAAAAGAAAACTTAAGACTTGGGCAGAAGTTTACCTTCCAGCAGGACCATGACCCTAAGCATAATACCAGAACCGCAAGACCTAAAAATCGACACCCTCCATTCAGTCTTACTGAACTTGATCCAAATTACAAAGAAAAATGGACAAAATCAGTTTAAAGATGTACAAAGTTATTGGAAACAGAGTAATAGTTGTGCATTTATATTTGCTTTTTCTATTGTTAATAGATTCCTAGGAATTCATTGAAGTCTGTAGATGTAAAGTGACAAGATGGGGGGGGGAAAAAGTCATATTTAATCCACATTTTAAAAAATAAGTTAAACTTTAAGTCATTTGCTTGGTTCATAACAAAACGTTTTTGATATTTATGTAAATAAATGTTTTAGTCTTTTGATTTAGGGAAATTAACATCAAAGTAAATAAAAAAAAAAAACTCAATTTTAACCATGCAAGTCTGAACTCTCAGCATTGTCTTCACTAATTGTTGTCAAACCAAAACAGTTTCCAAAGTTACAGCAGTATGCACATAACGTTACCCTTTAATAGAGCCGTCTCCCTCTAAAGCAATCTGTTTTCAACAACACATTTGTCATCGCTGTCCAAAACTTGTTTGCATAAGTAATGCTCTGCCAATCAAGATGGAAATGCAATAACGACCTTCGGAGGAGAAGCTCAAACTCAATTTGGAGTCAATGATCCATGATGGGGGGAAAAAAAAACAAAGCAGGAGCAGAATCGTGTCTATCAAATCTGTGGTCTGAATCAGCTAAGTCGCTTAAAATTCATCATCACCCCCTCCCCCTGAAACATTTTAGTTTCAAGGTTGATGGATCTTTGTTGCACATTGACTTGACATGTGATGAAAATGTGTTGCAACGCAGTCATCCCTCTCACGGTGCATCAATTTGTGCCGCTCTGTAGGGTGATCCAGAAGCTCGAAGACAGACAGAGGACGCGGCACCAGGGAGCAGAGAACCGGAGCCTTGTTGAGACGCACTATTGTTTAAAGCAGGCTATAATTAGGACAAGTGAATCGATGACATTACAGCACAAGCGTGACCCAAAACTGTGTAATAAGAGATGCAGGATGCCGGGGAAAAAAAGCTCAATGAGGGGGAACAAATGTCAGATCAAGTGGAAGAGGAAGAAACAATGAGGCAATATCGGCTTCTGCAGCTTTTTGCAACCAACCTTTTCTTTTCTTGCCTATTATAACTGAACCTCCTTTCTTGTGTTCTTCGAATGGAGAGGAGGAACTAGTCACACACTTTCTACGTCTGCTGCTGTGATTACATCTTCTCTCCTTCATGTGGAAGCTGACATTTAGCTGCGAGAGCCCCACAGAAGCACCCAGTGTCCCACATCTGCTCCACTTACAGTCATGGGTCTTAAAGTGTAACTAAAAAAAAACCAGGAACATGGAAACACTGCAGCTGTAAGTGGATTTGGCTGAAGCTCTGTCACCGTTTTAAGCGTATGGCCAGGTTTCAAAGTTAGTAATTCAATACTCTGGAGCTTAATGCCTTTATTTATTGTTCATAGTGAACAATTTCTGCTTTGATCTGTGAGACAGAATGTAAACAAAAGGTGAACAAACCAGAAATACTTCAAATGTGTATCGTTATCAGGCTTGAGCTGAGTCACGATGACTGTAAAGGCCATAGCATAAAGTTTAAGTAAATGTATATTTTTCATTTTGGTGTGCAAACATTTTCTTATTTTTTGGCTTAAAATAAATAACATTCACATTTATTAGAAAATAATACTGCAAATATATTTCACATGTAGTAATCTGCTCAGTCATCATCACACCACGACTGAATGCTGCCCTGTTTAACTTTTTTTTTTTTCTCTGTTTTGATATGAATAGCATTTTTAAATGACTTAGTAAAGATGCTCTCATTCAAATCTTTACTGTTTTCAATTGTCAGAAGGGAAAAGCAAAAATCATTTTTACATCCTGCAAAAATACTGTAAAGTTTCATGTTTAGAGAAAATCCTGCAGGAGACAATAAAACCGACAGCGGAAACATTTATCTTTTCAAGATGCTAAAATGGTTTTTATTGCCAACAAAAACACCTCGCGTTCCCACTTTAGACAGACTGGACAAGCAAATCACTTGGTTCAGACGGGAATCTCATTTTTACTTTTAATAGCATAGAAACATATGCTGATAAATACTTTTAACTTAAACTTTTTAAACTCCTCCAGTAAACATTGGCAAAAAAAAAAAAAATCAAAGTTACAATATGGATCTGAAGAAATGAACATAAACAGCAGCAGTAAACAGGCAGAGTTGAAGGCAAATTAACACTGAACAACCAAGCAGGCAGTCTGAGCGGCCTGTGTGGGGGAAGTCAGGGAGTTCCCAGAGAGTCTCAGTTCACGTTCGGCACACTGATCTGAAATCAGCCCGTCGGTTCTGTCACAAACTAAGACACCAGAGCGACGAATCCCAAGAATTTCCGAGTGACTTCAAAAATCGAGGGGGAAAGGAAAGCACACGGATGCTGGGAGTATTCTCCCTCGGGAATACGAGGGAGCTGCTGCAGAGATGCGGCAGAAATGTGACACCGCTCTGTCAGCTGAAAGGCACCGACTGTCCTGCAGCTCTTTGAAGTCTGATTGTCACGTATAAGAGAGTCTCGTTGAGCCACACCCACACAGACCTTAGTAGTCTTCAAAAGTTTGGTTCAAAAATAAATAAAAATATTATGGATGTTTCCATATTTTAGTACAAAATGCAATCTTTTTTTTTTTTTTTTTTTTCAAACTAAAACACTCTCTTCACCCATCCTAAATCAGAAAAGCTCAATCTCAACAGAACCGTCCGGAGTTCAGAGCAGTCAACACTGACTGGTGAGATATAAAAGTGCAAAGCCAAGAATTCAGAAAGCTTATCATCTCTAATAACATTTTCCGCAGTGTTTCCAAGAAGGACAACACATGAGATCTTACGCAAGGGACACGGAGACCGGTTTGGTCCGAACATGTCCCTCCCACGCGCGCGCACGCACACACACACGCACGCACA